TACTAGAGGAAAAAAAAGTGGCAAAATCGATTGAATATGAATTTAATGATAGTAAATACAAAAATGATAGAGAAAAAGAAAAAGATAAGAAACAACAAGCAATACCAGTCTATAGTAGTCCAGTGTTTGGATGATGCTCAACTGGATATAATTCGAAATAAAAATAGTGCATGCCAGATGTGGACAACTTTGAAAGATCGATACGAGAAGAAAAAACAAATATTTTTGAAACGAAAAATATTATCACTGAAATTGAAAGAGGGCGAGTCACTCGAGAAAGAAATTATAAAATTGGAGGATATTGTGAGGCAACTGATTACATTAGGTTGCGAAGTAAAGGATAAAGTATTTGCAAATGGAAAGTATCACTTTACCGCACAGTATGCGGTAAAGTGCACTTTACAGCATAGTATGCGGTAAAGTAGAATGCAAGTGTGCGGTAAAATGTATTTTACCACATAGTGTGCGGTAAAGTAGAATTTGATATTTATAATCAAAAATCCTCTCTTTTTCAGAAAATGGATTTTTGATCATTTCTAAATCTTATCTAATTTCATTAATTAATCTGATTCATTAATTAATTTTATATAAGCCTTTTTTTGGAGATGTAGATGCTCATAGGTAAAATTTTGTACCTAACATATGCGGAAAGTGCCTTTACCGCCCTTAACGGCTTGACCGAACTCCGCTTCGCGTCGTTCGGTCAACTGCCGTTGCGTGCGGTAAAGTATCACTTTCCGCATTTGTTAGGTAAATAACTATTTCCTACAGGCGAAAAAATGTAAAATTTTTCTTTTTTTTTTTGACATATCAGTGCGGTAAAATTTTTTCCGCACTGACAGCCGTGCGGAAAAATTTTTTCCGCACTGATATGTCAAAAAAAAAGTTTTACCGCACCGTGCGGGAAAACTCATTTTCCGCACGAATATCAGTGCGGAATATCGATTTTTCCGCACGGCTGTAGGAAATAGCTATTTACCTAACAAGTGCGGAAAATGAATTTTTCGAACGACGCGTAGCGGAGTTCGGTGAAGCAGCCGAGTGCGGAGAAATATTTTCCGCAAGAGTTAGGTACAATATTTTTCCTACAGGCGTAAAAAAGTAAAATTTTTCTTTTTTTTTTGACAGATCAGTGCGGTAAAATTTTTTCCGCACTGACAGCCGTGCGGAAAAACTTTTTCCGCACTGATATGCGTGCGGTAAAAGTTTTACCGCATCGTGCGGGAAAACTCATTTTCCGCACGCATATCAGTGCGGAAAATCGATTTTTCCGCACGGCTGTAGGAAAAATATATTTTTATCTCTTATTCCTTATACAAGTTGGTAGAAAAAGACAAATACACTCAGTGTGCACTAACCCTCCCAATGGAATTCGCTATTAAAGTGGCAAGTGGCACTATTTGGCACCACTATTTGAGTGTTGCTGCAGACACACACAAAAATTTCCCAGGAACAACCCTGGTGTCGTAATGAATTGCAAAATCACCAGACAACAGAATGACGAAATCCCAATGGTCGCAGAGAATGTCTTGTGTTGCACTTTGCACTACACTAACGCAACTAGCCTGTGGCAGTGGCACGTGACACTTGTGGCAGTAGTACATAACAAATTTCGGCACACGAGAGACGAGAGAGAAGAAGGATACTACGTAGAGAGGCGGAGAAAGACAGCGAATGATAATGACAGCCGATGAACGATTGACACAAACCAAGTGAGAGAGCGTGACTCACGGCGAGTTTTTGTGAACCCAAGTAAGAATAAATAGGTAATGCGCGTATTACTTCGCAGCGTGACGTGACGCAGTTTTGGTCCTGCGGAACGCAGTGTATTTGCCGCACTGGCAGTTTTTCTCGTAGAGTCACAGTGCGTGTTCTGAATGTTTCGAAAATTAATTGAGGCCGTGCGGATTCGACAAGTTTTGCGAACAAAACTAAAAACTGAAAAGCAGCAGTTGCCATTTTATCTACACTATGGGTCGGCCTGCAAAGTGAAAACTGTCATTGTATTTGCGCGGTTACTCTTGTCAAGCGCCGATACCCTTGTGACGTCAATACAGATGCGCGTTTATCTTTTTTATCTTTTGTGTAGCCTTTTTTTACTCCGACTCATTCGCTATACATGCGATTTTTTTTTATGTTTTAATAAAGTTGGGAAAATTAGGAATGTCACACCCCCCCCCCCCCCAAACCAGAGGCCTTCGCTACGTCCCTGGCTGCGGGCGTGGCATGTCTACAATGGCCTTGATGTATGATTCACATGGTTCTATTCCATTTCCTGGAAACAGCTGGTCCATAAATTTAACCTACCTTAACTTAAACTGTATTTTGGATTTATTGAATTTTAATGCTGTATTTTTTGGCTCGTTCAAGAACTAATTTCAAATTGTCATCATGCTCTTGTTCCGTTGACCCTGTAATGATCAAATTATCGAAATAAATTCCGACTCCTTCAATGTCACTAAATAATTCATAATTTTTACGCTGGAATACCTCAGCAGCTGAACGTATACCAAATGGTAATCGTAGAAACCGATATCGTCGAAATGGTGTTCCAAAAGTACAATAATCTGAGCTTTCATCCGTAATTTTCACTTGAAAATACCCATCTTTCATATCGAGGACAGAAAAATACGATTTATTAGACAAATTACTAGCTATTTCATTAACAGTTAGAATGAGAAAGAGTTCGCGACTAATAGCATTATTTGGAATTTTGGGTCTAAACACAACCTCAAATTTTTGTTTTTCTTTTTGACTATAACCAATGGATTTAGCCATTCAATTGGCTTATCCACTTTAGCTATAATTCCGTCTTTTTCCAACTGTTCAAGTTTTAATTTTACTCTGGAATGCAATGCCTGGGGAATGCGCCTAATCGGCTGTATTTGTGGAACAGCATCTTTTTTAAAATAATTTTATGAGATGTAGAACTCTCCTAATCCCTCAAAAACCATAGGATAATTCTTAGTAACATCATCAAGAATTTCAAACTTGTCAAACTTTAAAAAATCCACTCTTTTTACTAAATCCAGATTTGTGCATCCATTTAATCCCAACAATGGTAATTGACCTACACTATCAACAACAATAAAAGGTATTTTTGCTGATTTTCCATTCACATTGCATTCCAAATTAACCTGGCCAACAGGTTTTATAGTAAAATCACCACTACAATAATCAACTAATGTTACATTAGTTTTATTTAATTTTCCCTTACAAACAAATCCATTCATACAATGAAGAGGTAAAACGCTCACTTCTGCGCCAGTATCCTACTTAAATTCAATTGCCTTACCCTCGACATCAATGCTTTCAAGCCACATGGCTTCACTAGATGACTTTCCATCTATATTCACTACACCAACCTGCTTGGTTATGGCATATGGAACGTAAAATTGGTCATTTCCACTATCCGAGTTTTCCTCTTCTTGTGGAGCAACTTCATGCACATTTTTCTTCCTGCTATCACGAGATTCCAATTTTTTTTTAGATTTACACACTGGAGCAAAGTGATTAAGACAATGATACTTATTGCATTTTTTTTCCATAAGCTGGACACTTGCCCTTTGCATGCTTAGTTCCACAGTACATGCACAGATTGCAAGGCTTTTCATGCAATTTTTTGTTGGGTTTGTCTGTGCGTTTGAAGTCACTTACAGAAACTTCACTCTGCAGAACTTTAGATTGCGATTTGCTAGCCTCAAAGGCTCTACAATGCTTAAATGCCATGTTCAGAGTCAAATTCGATGCTCTCAGTAATCTTTCCTGAATATCTTTGTTAATAACACCCATAATGATTCTATCCCGAATCATGTCATCTTTGTCGTGATACCCAGTAGATTTTACAGCCTTCCGCAACTCCGTCAAGAATGCCATAAAATAAAAACTTTGAGGACGTCTGACCCCCTTTTTGCAACGAACTAGACGTCTGACGATTTACATACGTTATCTGTGACCTTCAAACAGATAATGTGCAAAATTTCTATAAATTTTGAGCTTTGAGAAAACAGTTTAGATGCTTCTTAAAATTACAACTTTTCCCGCGTCCCAGAGCCAGCTGTCCCGGAACTGTGAGTGCTGACTGTACACTAGCATTCTAGCACTAAAGTACGACCTATTTTGAAAATATCCGCCTTGCGAAAACTCTTGCATGTTTTTGGCGCCACCTCCTGGACTATATGAGCTATTATTTTATATAAAAATTATCCATTGCAACGATCACATACCCGTTAATATTGCCGGCTCTCCTATATAAGTGTAGCTACAAGTGTTGTTGAACGTTAACCATAGCTATGAATAGAAGTGAAGCTACGGAATGGGCAAAAGCTGTAGAAGAAGAAATCAAGTCTCTTGAGAAAAATAACACATGAACAGTGGTAAAAAACAGTAGCAGTAACAAAACTATACAAACTTTAGAATTTTACATTGAAAACATTATAAAACACAAGAGTACTTTGCTGAATGTTATTTTAACTTGTGCAATAATTATAAAATTGCTATTTATAACATCAAAATTTTAGAAAGAATAGTGTGCCAATAGCTCAAAAACATGTTATTTCCTATTCCATAGGCCTCCTTATTCCAATTAATTTTTATATCCTTTTTAAAGCAATTTCTAAAAACATCCCTTTCATGTCAACTCAACCTTTACGAGCTCTAGCAAAGCCAACTCTAGAGACTACAATAATAATTATTTTTATTCGAAAAGCTCGTATCTCGTGGCAGCGTCCAGACGGCTCCTTTTTCCAGCGTCGAGACGCCGGCCGGAGCCAGACTTGAAAGCGAACTTTCAGCTGACTCATACTTTTAATAATAATTTCATTTCATCAGGATTCGAAACTGATCTACGCCTATAGAAGCCTTCGAGTTTATTAGGGCAAAACCTTTTACGTTTATTTTATCGTGTTTCAATCGATACAGATCTAATTAAGCTTTTAAGCCATTTCTCCACTGTAAATGTCATGTTCTGAAATTTCCTGCTATATAGCCGGACATAACCTTTAATAGTATGATACACCATAAAGAAAATCCAAATATCTACTTACAGTTTGATGTTTATTCTCAGTAGTACCGTGTACGGTATGCAAATGAATAAATTGAGGCGGTACCGGTCGTTTTTCGTCCCTGATCGGCGATTTTTCGTAAGGCGACCGATCTTCCGGAACCGCTTTCCTAACAAACACTTCCTCCTTTTCTACGTAATTGTCTTCGACGTGCCCGTGGAAATCCCTATGCGGAATTCCCAAAATAGAATTTGGAGCGTTTTTAATTGGCAAAAACTCACCTGTGAATTCCTTGGGAATCGATGAAATGCAACTGATACGTATGCGGAATGCCGTGCGAATCCAAATACTGGCCGGAATCTCTTTTGTGCTCGTGGTCGACGTGCTCGTCGTGGTGATGGTGGCTGGGGGTTGCTGGAAGTACGGGATAATGTTGAGGAGAATGGCCTAGGAATAAAACCGATTCGTTTAAAAAAAAAATTGCATTTGTATGTGAAGGTTTCGTGCCATTGTGCAATTTTATCTGATTTCGTGTTGCACCCTATTTAATATGCCCATTACGCTGTGGGTAATATCACTTCGTTTTCTGGTTTATAAGGCATGGAATGTTTTAAATGTGCTAGGGATTCGAGGTTGTTTTCAACCAAAAAGCAAATAGATTTCTAATATTTCTGGCTCAGAAATAATTAATCGTTACGTTTGACACAAAATACATATTGTCTCTATAGAGTTTTTGGTAGTTTATAATATGGATTTGTAAAAATTGTAAACGGAGTTGTTAGATGTCGAAACATTGAATTTCCTATTTCTGTAATTTAGCAAACAGCCAAAAATTATACACAGTGATTTAGGCCAAGAGTTTTCAAATTTATGTTTTCTCGGGAAAAAAAAACCATTATTATGACAGCTCCTTTAATTTTCATCCGATTTTAATGTAATTAAACTCTAATCAAAGCCAATTAAATTCTCTACCAATCTATCAATTAATATTTCAATTTAGTTCCAACAGTCTTGCACCTGCTTTAATATTGAATTTATGGAACATTGAAAATTTTTCAAAAATAACACTGAGATAGTTTTTGTCTCACAACTCCTTCAATTTTTATCTAATTTCAATGAAATTAGGCTCTAATTAAAGCCAATGAAATTATCTACAAATCTATTAGTTAGGATTTTCAAAAAAATGTCCTTTACATTATTTAACTTTTAGAAACTACAGGATCGACAAAAATCCGGCTAATTGTACCATAGTGGATAGAAAATTGCATTTTGGGTTTTTGAATTTTTGATGTTTTTGGTGAATATTATTTGTGTTTTTGATATATACATATTTATTTTTATGTATTAAAACTCTTTTAAAATGTATAATTTCCGAATAGATGAGATAATTACATAGATATCAAAAAGCGCCTAAGAAAATTTGCAAGATTTCTGATAACTTTTAGAATATCCCACCATTTCAAAATCATTAGGGAACCAAATAAAAACTTTGGAAATGATTTTGAATGGCTTCAGAATGGGCTGGCTGTTGCACTTGTTTGAGACAAATTGGAATCTTTAAAAAACATTGTAAAACGTTACAGAACACTTAGGACCCAATTTAGAATTTGAGAAACATTCTAGAACAGACCAGAACACTTTTGAATTTTCAGCAACATTTTAGAAAACACTCTAGAACACTTTACAAATCATATGGAACTTTTGGAAACAATCTAGAACTGGAAACTGTTAGAATATCTCAAAAATTGTCACATGACACTTTAGAACTAACTAAAAACTTCCATGAACATATTAGAATATTTTAAAATACTTCTGAACTTATTAAGAATCTCAATTAGAACATTTTAGAGCATTTCGAGAGCAGTATAGAATAAATTTAGAACTTTGATAAGCTCCAAAAGACTTTCAATTCCATTTTCAATCCTCTCGTATTTGTTTAAGACAAATTGGAGCTTTCAAGAACAGTGTAAAATGCAACAGAGCACTTTAGAATCAAATTAGAATTTCAGAAACATTCTAGAACGGACCAGAACACTTCTGAACTTTCAGGAACATTGAAGCTTGAGGTACATTGAAGTTCAGGTTTAAATAATCCATAAGTTAAAATTTCCAGGAGTAGGGTATTTTGAAACGCTCTCGGCAACGCTCTAGAACACTATACAAATCATAATATGGAACTTTTGGTCTTTGGAAACAATTTATGTAGAACTGGCAACTTTCAGAATATCTTGAAAAATTTTAGGTTTTTGCCAACCTTAAGCCAATAATAATACTTTTGGGTGATTTGGGCCAAAAGTTTTTAAATTTATGTTTTCTCAGAAAACAACTTTGTTATAATTTTAAGAAAAATTGATAAATAAATATTGCATTCCCGGCTGATGACGATTAGTTAAGTTTGATTCACTTTGATTTTGAAAAAAACCTTGATCCAATCAAGAGCCGGGAATAATCAAAAGTTGAATCTAAAACCACCGCATTAATTTTTCGACTATTGGTTGGTTGGTTAAGTTTGGTTCACTTCGATTTTGTTAAAGATCCAATCAAAAGCCCGGAATAATCAAGAGTTGATTCCAAAAACGCATTCAACTTTTGGTTGATGATTTGTCAAGTTTTTGGTTCACTTTGATCTAATCAAGAGCCAGGAATAATCAAAAGATGAATCTAAAACCACTGCATTAATTTTCTGACTATTGGTTGGTTGGTTAAGTTTGATTCACTTCGATTTTGTTAAAGATCCAATCAAAAGCCGAGAATAATCAAGAGTTGATTCCAAAAACGCATTCAACTTTTGGTTGATGATTTGTCAAGTTTTTGGTTCACTTTGATCTAATCAAGAGCCAGGAATAATCAAAAGATGAATCTAAAACCACTGCATTAATTTTCTGACTATTAGTTGGTTGGTTAAGTTTGGTTCACTTCGATTTTGTTAAAGATCCAATCAAAAGCCAAGAATAATCAAGAGTTGATTCCAAAAACGCCTCATTCAACTTTTGGCTGATGATTTGTTAAGTTTTTGGTTCACTTTGATCTAATCAAGAGCCGGAAATAATAAAAAGTTGAATCTAAAACCACCGCATTCATTTTTTGACTATTGATTGGTTGGTTGAGTCTGGTTCACTTCGATTTTGTTGAAGATCCAATCAAAAGCCGAGAATAATCAAGAGTTGATTCCAAAAATGCCTCATTCAACTTTTGGTTGATGATTTGTTAAGTTTTTGGTTCACTTTGATCCATTCAAGAGCTGGGAATAATCAAAAGTTGAATCTAAAACCACCGCATTCATTTTTCGACTATTGGTTGGCTGGTTAAGTTTGGTTCACTTCGATTTTGTTAAAGATCCAATCAAAAGCCGAGAATAATAAAGAGTTGATTCCAAAAACGCCTGATACAACTTTTGGTTGATGATTTGTCAAGTTTTTGGTTCACTTTGATCTAATCAAGAGCCGGGAATAATCAAAAGTTGAATCTAAAACCACCGCATTCATTTTTTGACTGTTGGTTGGTTGGTTAAACTTGGTTCACGTCGATTTTGTTAAAGATCCAATCAAGAGCCAAGAATAATAAAGAGTTGATTCCAAAAACGCCTCATTCTACTTTTGGTTGATGATTTGTTAAGTTTTTGGTTCACTTTGATCCAGTCAAGAGCCGGGAATAATAAAAAGTTGAATCTAAAACCACCGCATTCATTTTTTGACTATTGATTGGTTGGTTGAGTCTGGTTCACTTCGATTTTGTTGAAGATCCAATCAAAAGCCGAGAATAATCAAGAGTTGATTCCAAAAACGCCTCATTCAACTTTTGGTTGATGATTTGTCAAGTTTTTGGTTCACTTTGCTCTAATCAAGAACCGGAAATAATAAAAAGTTGAATCTAAAACCACCGCATTCATTTTTTGACTATTGGTTGGCTGGTTGAGTCTGGTTCACTTCGATTTTGTTAAAGAACCAATCAAAAGCCGAGAATAATCAAGAGTTGATTCCAAAAATGCCTCATTCAACTTTTGGTTGATGATTTGTTAAGTTTTTGGTTCACTTTGATCCATTCAAGAGCTGGGAATAATCAAAAGTTGAATCTAAAACCACCGCATTAATTTTTTGACTATTGGTTGGTTGGTTAAGTTTGGTTCACTTCGATTTTGTTAAAGATCCAATCAAAAGCCAAGAATAATAAAGAGTTGATTCCAAAAACGCCTCATTCTACTTTTGGTTGATGATTTGTTAAGTTTTTGGTTCACTTTGATCCAGTCAAGAGCCGGGAATAATAAAAAGTTGAATCTAAAACCACCGCATTCATTTTTTGACTCTTGATTGGTTGGTTGAGTCTGGTTCACTTCGATTTTGTTGAAGATCCAATCAAAAGCCGAGAATAATCAAGAGTTGATTCCAAAAACGCCTCATTCAACATTTGGTTGATGATTTGTTAAGTTTTTGGGCCACTTTCATCTAATCAAGAGCCGGGAATAATGAAAAGTTGATTCTAAAACCACTGCATTCATTTTTTGACTATTGGTTGGCTGGTTGAGTTTGGTTCACTTCGATTTTGTTAAAGATCCAATCAAAAGCCGAGAATAATAAAGAGTTGATTCCAAAAACGCCTCATACAACTTTTGGTTGATGATTTGTTAAGTTTTTGGTTCACTTTGATCCATTCAAGAGCTGGGAATAATCAAAAGTTGAATCTAAAACCACCGCATTCATTTTTTGACTGTTGGTTGGTTGGTTAAGTTTGGTTCACTTCGATTTTGTTAAAGAACCAATCAAAAGCCGAGAATAATCAAGAGTTGATTCCAAAAACGCCTCATTCAACTTTTGGTTGATGATTTGTCAAGTTTTTGGTTCACTTTGCTCTAATCAAGAACCGGAAATAATAAAAAGTTGAATCTAAAACCACCGCATTCATTTTTTGACTATTGGTTGGCTGGTTGAGTCTGGTTTTCTTCGATTTTGTTAAAGAACCAATCAAAAGCCGAGAATAATCAAGAGTTGATTCCAAAAATGCCTCATTCAACTTTTGGTTGATGATTTGTTAAGTTTTTAGTTCACTTTGATCCAATCAAGAGCTGGGAATAATCAAAAGTTGAATCTAAAACCACCGCATTAATTTTTGACTATTGGTTGGTTGGTTAAGTTTGGTTCACTTCGATTTTGTTAAAGATCCAATCAAAAGCCGAGAATAATCAAGAGTTGATTCCAAAAACGCCTCATTCAACTTTTGGTTGATGATTTGTTAAGTTTTTGGTTCACTTTGATTCAATCAAGAGCCGGGAATAATCAAAAGTTGAATCTAAAACCACCGCATTAATTTTTGACTATTGGTTGGTTGGTTAAGTTTGGTTCACTTCGATTTTGTTAAAGATCCAATCAAAAGCCGAGAATAATAAAGAGTTGATTCCAAAAACGCCTCATACAACTTTTGGTTGATGATTTGTTAAGTTTTTGGTTCACTTTGATCCATTCAAGAGCTGGGAATAATCAAAAGTTGAATCTAAAACCACCGCATTCATTTTTTGACTGTTGGTTGGTTGGTTAAGTTTGGTTCACTTCGATTTTGTTAAAGAACCAATCAAAAGCCGAGAATAATCAAGAGTTGATTCCAAAAACGCCTCATTCAACTTTTGGTTGATGATTTGTCAAGTTTTTGGTTCACTTTGCTCTAATCAAGAACCGGAAATAATAAAAAGTTGAATCTAAAACCACCGCATTCATTTTTTGACTATTGGTTGGCTGGTTGAGTCTGGTTTTCTTCGATTTTGTTAAAGAACCAATCAAAAGCCGACAATAATCAAGAGTTGATTCCAAAAATGCCTCATTCAACTTTTGGTTGATGATTTGTTAAGTTTTTAGTTCACTTTGATCCAATCAAGAGCTGGGAATAATCAAAAGTTGAATCTAAAACCACCGCATTAATTTTTGACTATTGGTTGGTTGGTTAAGTTTGGTTCACTTCGATTTTGTTAAAGATCCAATCAAAAGCCGAGAATAATCAAGAGTTGATTCCAAAAACGCCTCATTCAACTTTTGGTTGATAATTTGTTAAGTTTTTGGTTCACTTTGATCCAGTCAAGAGCTGGGAATAATCAAAAGTTGAATCTAAAACCACCGCATTAATTTTTTGACTATTGGTTGGTTGGTTAAGTTTGGTTCACTTCGATTTTGTTAAAGATCCAATCAAAAGCCGGGAATAATCAAGAGTTGATTCCAAAAACGCCTCATTCAACTTTTGGTTGATAATTTGTTAAGTTTTTGGTTCACTTTGATCCAGTCAAGAGCTGGGAATAATCAAAAGTTGAATCTAAAACCACCGCATTAATTTTTTGACTATTGGTTGGTTGGTTAAGTTTGGTTCACTTCGATTTTGTTAAAGATCCAATCAAAAGCCAAGAATAATAAAGAGTTGAATCCAAAAACGCCTTGTTCAAGTTTTGATAGGGCGTTAATGATATCATAATGAGGAAAACCACGTATTTAAAATATTATTTCATCAAATTTTAACTTTTAAAAAAACTTTTACGTAATAAAAGTAAATATTCCAACCATGTACTGCGCCACAGAGTTTAGGTTTAAGGGACAACGAGGGTACCAAACGAAACGGTAGGTAAAGAGAAAGCGATTAGGCATTAGAATGGAGACGACAGAACGAGCTGGCCTGGTCCCTTAGAAAACATGTCGCGTGTCTGTAATTATTCATTATTCAATTTTCATTTCTATTTTGCATTAAAATTGATTGTTCAATCCAATTTGTTATTAGTGTGTGTGTAAGGAGAGTTCACAGGTTAGTGGATTTAATATTATTTTGTTTTTGAGAGTTCAATTTATGCAAGTTCCTATTATTTTGTTCATTATTATGTTCTTTGTTTGTTTATAACATTTTTTATAACTTGTGCATTGTTCATGTATTTAACCAAAATCGTTTCATGCTGTAAACAACACAAATGAAGAGTAAATTAAAACCTAAGAAATTATGTGCTGTCTTTTTTGTGCTGATATTTTGATTTTGTACATTAGAGCCTTGTTGAATTTACTAACATTTTCCTACCCTGACGAGAGAATATCCTAACAAATTGAAATAATCAATCTAGAGATATTGGCTCAAAAACAACTATAGCTGAGTAGCTTCCCGTATGGGACCTCAGTACCTGCTGGGAAACTGGCTAACAAAAAACTCTTCAGTTTGAAATATAGGTAGTCTGGATTGAATGTAGAGTGTGTAATTGAAATTTTAGCACAAGAACAGGGGCGGTACCTAGTTTCAACTTTTATTGAATTAATGACTCACAATTATTATTAAAATGACACAGTATGTTTCGATTTTTGGGGAATGTTCGATCGAGGTTTTCTCTGCCGTTCTCTTTTCCCTCGAGAATTCTAGGTCGAGAACGGTACGTTTTTCTTTGAAAATAAAGGAGGCGTTTCACAAATTTTTCGTTTCTTATACCTATCACAACTTCCCTTAAATTTCCCAAAATATTTGCTGTCAGGCGCATGTCCAGTAAGTAAAATTGAGTAAGTTTCCACAACGTAGTTCCTATTTGTTTTTCATTTCGTTTTTCAGAAGATTTGTTGTTTAAAAGGTAATAAAAATTCTCATCGTTCAATCTTACTGAGCGAACTTGGGTATGTTATACTACAATAAGAAGGGTTGAGATTATATTGATAAAATAAGATGTTTGACATTGGAGGAAGCTCAATCCTAGATATAAAATGTAAACAAGAATTTTTGCAGCTTTTATAGTTTAAGTTTTGTATGGGTAATTTCATATTATGGTCTTTTATATACAGGGTGTTTGGTACATCAATTGGAAGTTTTTAATGAGTTATAGTTGGGGTCATTTGGAAGCTGTTTGACCATATTTACCCTCATGCAAAACATATAACATATTGGCTAGTAACTACCTCAACTTTTCTCAGTTATTGTTTCCGATATTCCTGCACTCTGTCAAAAAAATATGGAAAGAAAAACTGAATGATTGATACAAAAAATATGTAACCCAAGACCCAAGTTAGGTATGTGTTAAAATACATGGATTCAAAATATCTAAAAATGGCGATATCTCAAAAAACGGCGATATCTCAAAAAACTTTTCATGGTGATGAATATGGTCAAACAGATTCCAAATGACCTCAATTATCACTCATTGAAAACTTTCTATCGATGTACCAAACACTCTGTATATATTCGAAGTTTTTAGATAGACTTGAAAAGTCTTAAATCAATAGTTCATTGAAATATTTAGATTTCTGAATAAGAGTTTTCAAATTTTAAGAGTTAAATCAATAAATTAATTGTAAAATCTTGACAAAGAAGCCTATAAGTCTTAAATCATGAGCTCTGAAACTCTTGAAATCTCTAAAATCTTCAAAAGTTTGAAATCAAGAGCTATAGAAAGATCTCCAGAAACAATTTGAAATTTTGAAGATCTTCGAAATTCTAATAGGTACTTAAGTATTCATAAATAATTCCTTACCAATTTTGGAAAGTTGCACTTTAGTGCCGTGCTTCTCTTTGCCGTGATGATCTTTGCTGCCTTCCGCGCCCTCCTTGTGGTGCTTCTCGTGCTTTTCGTGATGGTCCTTGTAGTAGTCTTGGTGTTCCTTGTGGTGGTGCAGGTGAGGGTGCGGAATGTGATGGTGGGAAGCCTCCACCAAAGTGGGCTGGATGTGCGTGACAAATTGAGCCATTTCTATCCGGAGATCCGCTACATGTTAACTCTGAAATAGTAATATGAATTTTCACTGCACTCGAAACGCATTTTGCCAGGAAATCATCCGGTTTTATTAATTCTATTTTTAAATTCGTCATCCGAAGTCGTAAAAACTGGAGCGAATAAGACCCAAAATAAATTTTAATTGAATTTGGACGACAATAAAAAAAATTCCAGGGAATTAGTGCGCTTTGAGTCTAAATCATAAATTATATTAATAAGTACTTCTATGTAATTCCCACTTACGCAAATTCCCTTATTCAGATTTGCAAATTGGCACTACAATATAGGGAAACTAAGGCTGCACCTCTCTCTGGAAAGGCGAACGCGATTTGAAAACTCTTTGGAGTAAAACGCAGGCTGGTTTCGAGGAGGAGGCTGGCGGTGGGGTGGGACGACTTTACCAAGAGTCTGTCAATGAGAGAATTTCCCGCCCTGGAAAATTGCGCCAAGGACTAGTGGACATTTCCAGGCACGAATCCATATTTATACGTGCCTCCACTATAAGTAAGCTTATTTCAACTTTCAAAAAGTCGAATAATAATCGATCTGATTGTGTTTGAATTGTAGCTATTTATTTTAAACTTTTTTTAGAAAATCGCAAATTTCTTTTATTCCCAATATCCATTACTGTCCAAAAAAACAAGTTCTACGCATGCCAAAAACTCTCGCTGAAACAAATATCGAGTACCCGGCGAGGATTCGGGGAAGTTTCGCCCTTGTCGGTCCTACCAAAACTGCCTTCTATAAGTTTTGGATTCCTCCAAAGTTCGTATTGATCTCAGAGCAAGAGCCGACTAACTTTCAGGCTTGGATCTTGAATTATCAATAAAATTAGGATAATAAGAGGCTTTTTTTTTATTTGCTCTGTCCTTAGATTGTTCATTATTTATTTGAGATTTTTCCTAACATTGAACTCAATCTCCATTTTGATCTTGAGATTGTCGGAAATTGCTATTCTTACTCTGAAATTGTATAAATAGTTTTTTCTACAAACGTCACTAAAAGTGTCATTTTGAACGGATGCTGTCAGTGTCTAAAATGCTATTTTATGACACTGGTGCTAAAAGTGATTACTTTTAGCACTAGTGCTAAAAGTAATCACTTTTAGTGTGTTTGTAGAAAAAATAGTGTATGATATTCGTGCTAAAAGTGATTTTATTTTGTTCAAAGGGATGGAACACTCCGCCTTCGGCGTCGTGTCCCAAACTTCCCTTTTCACAAAATAAAATGTCACTTTTAGCACTTATATCATAAATAACTATTATCTTGAGACAATTATTTAGAATTTTAATCCCAACACCTTACAATATAAAATTTTGTATAACGAATTCAATCCTCTTTTCAATGATGTATAATTAATTATAGACAATTTCTCATTTCTAGCTTCTGAAATTTCTAAAATAGTTGTTGCATCACACCATGAACAGTTTGAAAGTTCTTTTATATATAGGTAGCTTTTGAGACATTTTCCAGTTTCTGGAAAAGCTGTTTCTAGCTTGGTTTTCAACTTTTAGGACACTGATGTGAACTATGACAATTTCAAAATACTCTTTCTGAGTCGTTTTCAAAAGTTTAGAATACTTAAAATCACTTATCTAGCTTTTGCAATTTCCAAAATAGTTGTTTTAGCTTTAAAATACCATGAACAGCTTGAAAGTTCCTATAAATAGCTTTCTGAAGCAACTTCCAAAAATTCTAAATCAGTCACTCTTGAAGTAGTGCAAATTGGACATCTGTTTTTGTACATTTTGTTGTATAACTCCATGGTACTGTACCAACTAGTATTAGCAGAACATTGCCTTGACTATAAAATGTTACCTGTACACATTATCTGCACATTGTCATAGTTATAGAAACGTTTTAACACATTTTAAGTTCTTCAATTTAATAAAGCAAATCCTGTTTAACTAAACCTATAATTATTATTATCCCTTCATCTTGAAGACACAAACACAACATGGTGTCAGTTGTCTAAGTGCTGAAAGTGTCCAAGAATAGGAAGGAATAACATAGATAGCGCAGTATCGCTGAAGAAGGTTAAAACATTCATACCCAATATGTCTCGAACTTTTAGTCCCAACAGAAACCCTACGTCTAGGTCAAAATTTAATGGAAATAGTTTGTCATCATTATCACTAGAGGGTAATTTATCCAGTAACTGGGTAAGTTGGCTGCAACATTTTAAGATTTATATGAGAGCAAGTAGTCTAGAAAACGAAGATGATAGCAAAAAGGTTGCTATATTTTTGTACTACATTGGACCTGAAGCTCTCTCTATTTTTAATTCTTTCAATCTAAATATGGACACATGTACATATAAGGATTTAGTTGATCGGTTTGAAGCACATTGCAAACCAAAAACAAACCTAACAGTTGAAAGACACAATTTTTTAACAAGACGTCAGAAGCCTGATAAGTCAATCGACGAATTTGTGACAGCACTCAAAAACCTGAGCTTCAAATGTGAACTAGATAAACTGCACTGCGAGAAAGCCTTGTCAGGGATATGTTTGTTGTTGGTTTAGGTGCCAATAATCGAATAATAAAGGAAAGACTTTCACAAGAGGATAATCTAGATTTAGACAGGGCCATTAAAATTGCCAAAAGCATTGAAATCACTCATAGACCGGTGCATAAGGACCATTTTTTCAAAACGATTTTCTCCCGTCTGCCATTAAGCGTGGTTATTCTTTATGCAGTAAGAAGTGGAATGGCTGAAATTTCAAAGAGCCCCGCGTGTGACAATACAATGATATGCTAAATTGAAAATGTAATGAAAAGTGGAGATGTGGATCAATATTATCCCGTCTGCCACACATTGTGAAGGTAATTTTAACAAAAATTAGTAGAAGGATGCTAAATGGCGGAAACCCTGGGTTAGTATAAAGTGTCATATTACTAAATTCAAAATATCACCAAAATCGGACATGTGGATCAACGACCTCCCGTCTGCCAAATTAAATTTATGTTACATTTACGATGTAATACATCAATAACTAAATGGCAGAAAATCTCGGTTGGTATAATAATATTTAACAATTTTTGAAGTTGTTTGTGTTGTTGTTTTGTGTTTGTTCGAGTTATAACTGCAATATATTCTGGAATGGCATAGCTTATAGAATTAATCAAGAAGAACTCTGTTCGGTTTGTAACCTAAGAGTGCCTGAAACATTTCTTCACGTTCTCTTTGAATGTCCTTTATATCGTAGTGTTAGGCCGGCAGATTGGGGTGATATACCGAATTTTGCTCATAATTTGGACAATCTAAACCCTCAACTGGTGAGGGTTATTTTCCAAACCGTTACTAGTATTCTTAAACTTAGATCGTTCTTAAGAAATGAATAGACCTATTCTTTAGATTTTAATTTTATCTTCCTATTCTCCTCGTACCTGAATTAATATAGAGTATTATTTTTTGTTCTTTTTCAATTTCAAATTTGGGTTTACATATTTAAACGTGTAGCTTATAAGTATGAGAAATGTAGCATTACTTAGATTAAGTTTATTATTGTGCAGAACCTACTGTTATAAGAATGTATATTCTTTTTAAACAATAAAGAATTGATTGATTGATTGATTGAACAATTTTTGAAGTTGTATCAAAATGTTGAGATGTTGAAACAATTTTCTCCCATCTGCCATTTGGAAGATAAGTTTGACATGCAAAGTAAAATCCAAGAAATATATTGGCAGATGTATCCAAGGCATATTAACAATTGACAGAAACAATAAAAATGTCAAAATTTTTCAAAGTTGAGTTCAATTTTTTCCCGTCTGCCAATAATTTATATTAAATTAGCTACTACTGAAAGCCTAAATTTCGACTGGCAGAAATTGCAGGCTGATACAAGTTCTCATAATTTATGAACAAAATTGGAACAAAAATTGTTCATATCATGAACGTTTTTAACCCGTCTGCCGTTTGTTTCAGTAAAAAGTAGTTATGGGAATATGCATAATCTCAATATCGCAGAAACCTCAATGAGCTACATACGTTGCACAATTATTGTTAAATTGCTAAAAATGTTTATGTGTCCAAAGAATGGACCTTTTGCACTCAATCAAAATTAGGTATATAATTTATCTGTAACGAAAGTGTATTTTATGTAGGTACTACATAAAAGTATGGTTGGTTAATTTTTAAAAAAATCTTGAAGCCAGAAATTGGAAGAAAAAAAAGCAGATTATTTGAATTTTGTGCCATATTTTTGCACAATCAAAAATCACTGATTGTCAAATTTCCATGTTCCAAACGATTCATTTTTTTTTCTTTTTTAACACATCGGACAAAAAAGTAGACATATATACAGGGTGACACAAGGAATAGGGAACAACCTATAACTTTTTTAATATATAAGTTGAAAATTTGAAATTTCTGGAGCTTAATCGAGGCAACTTTTTGAGTTTTTTAGAAGTAAATTGCGTTACCAGTCACTTCCGGTTAAACCAAATTTTCAACTTATATAGGTATTGAAAAAGTTATAGACTGTTCCCTATTCCTTGTGTCACTCTGTATATCAAAATCGCTTTTTATATCAAAATCGCTTTGTATATCGACTTTGGTACAGCCCTACTTTTGAATCGACTAGTATTGACAATTTTCTTTCCTTAATAAATGCGAATTAAACAAAGAAATCGATATCTGTACTAATCCGGCACAGTATAAAGCAGGACGCGCACTGAATCGACTCGGACCGGTCGACTTGGCGAAGAGCAGTCGGCAGTTTTTGATACTCATGCAATTAAATGAGGCTCAGTAAATGTGTTGCACAGTGTTGTCGAACGTCAAAATACTAAATCGGGAGAAACTAACGTTGAGAATCGATAGATTACAGCGCAAAATCGGTAGGTATAACACAAGGATAATACACACTACTAAGGATTGCTTATCGGCATCGATTTCGGTAATCGCGGCCATATTGGTGTATCACCATTACGGACGTCATTAACTAAATCGTCAGCTGTTTGCGCCAGCGGTCCTCCTAGTTTAAAATTTAAATTTATGATCAAAAATATTATTTAATTTTGATTAACATAATAGGCAAAGAGGAAGATGCAAACGAGATCTGAACAGGAGTTCTTATTGTTACTAATGTAGTAAGACCAAGTATGGTATGCATAAGGTAAAAGACCGCAGAATCATAACCTGTGATGCAAACAGTGCCTATGTCAAGGCGAGAAACGACGTGCTGCCTACGTCACAACTGGTGATTTGGCGTAGTGGGGGGCTTTAGATTTGTTCTACACAGGTCTTATGAGGATATGCTATCCTGTAGTTGTAGTGTGTATTATCCTTGGGTATAAC